AAACCCTGAACTACCAAAGCCTAAACTCTGAAGTGCATCAGCATACCTACCCATGAGGCCTACAGCCTTTAATCCTAACCTTGCTCTGGACCTTTAAGTCCCGGCTCAGGTCGCCACCTATTTGGGCAGCTCGAAAGCCTTCATGGCCGACGAGGAGGAGGACGAAGATGAGGAAGTGTAACCTGTTTTATTGTTTTCTTTTTTTTAATTTTTTTTATGGGGATGCGGTCAGCTGCTTGCAGTTGACATTACGAGGATGTCGTTGTTTTGGCAGTGACATGTTCAGCATTCTGTTGAGACGTAGAACTCTTGTCTATGTTGAAGCAGGTAGCAATAAAACTACCTGCACAAACGGGTCATACCTTCAAGGAGATTAGCAGGCAACGTGGTTTTGGAACAGGTTGACGGTTGTGTCTGCCGTCTGCTATCTCGAGAAACGCAACAGCAGATTCCAAGCTCACCGGCCAAGTTTCAGCCCGTGAGAAACTACCAGGCATCGCGGCAGCCCAAAACTGCGTCTTGATCTCTTCCAACGGCATACCCCGGCTTGCTGCTTCTTCGTTTCCTGTCCGAACACCTAAGGTACGAAGACGAGGAGGAGGAAGAAGGCCACGAGGACCATCACGGCACCTTAGCCTAGATAGATAGTGCTTGGCTGACCCAGGGCCCTTTCTTCGGTTCCATGTTGAGGTTCCTTAATCTTAATAGTGGGTCCGTATGGACCCAAAACCTAAATTCAAAGTCACACAGCATTTCAGGAACAATTGAAGGCAATGTATACCAAGAAATCTCTTGTCTAGTGATGATCACCTGAAACCCTGCAAGCTATTGCCGTGTAATTCTTTCCCCCCAAAGAGTAGATGCTTAAAAGCAAGCCCGGCTCGCAGAGGTGGATCTGGTTTCTGCTTGCTAGAGAGTATTTAATTTGGGGTGCTAACACTAAGCGCCCCGGGTTCCCATATCCACTCTACACTGTCTGAATGGGATGTCATCACCATCCTCGCCATTTCTGCGTTCGTCAAGTTCATCCGCTTAACATGCAGTGAATGACTTGACTACTGCTCAGTTCAAACTCCCTGCCGAAGAACAACGCCCCATGCTGTTTTTGAAAACAATGGCCGCTCTTATACCGCGACTTTTGAGATTACCATTCTGACTGCACGTCATGCTCTTCTTCTTCTTCCTGCTGTTATTATTATTGTTTTCCAAAGTGTTCGTATTTACTTCTATTTACTACTTCTATTTCCAGTACTACTAGTACTTGTAATGCTCGTCGAATTACTTTGGGTTCTTGCTAGTAATGCTTGTACTGTTAGCACTGCTACTGGGAGAAGTAGTAATCGTGGTCGTGGTCGTCGGACTGGTACTGCCAGTACAGGTACTGCATCAGTAGTAATATGCCTTTTGTCACTTGTACTAGTAGTACTAGTAGTAGTGGTAGTAGTAGTAGTCGTCGTCGTCGTCGTCGTCGTCGTCCTGTTCGTCGTCGTCGTCGTCGTCGTCGTAGCAGCTATCGTAGGTGTAGTAAGAGTACGCCTACTACTACAACGACAACGGTTACGACTACGACCACTAGCAACATCACCGTATCTGGACCATAACCTTTAATACTACTATTCTTAATTCTTACCAATATTATTACTGTTATTATTCTTGTCATGCTATGATTGTTATTATTGCTATTACTTCTACTATGATTACTACGATCATTACTATTACCATTTTTTGGTGTTAGTTTTTACTGTTAGTGCTTTTACTACTACTAGGACTACTGCTACGATGATTACTACAACTGCTACTGTTACTGCCACTGTCACTATTGCCAGTAGCAGCAAGCAATAGTGGTCGTCATCGTGGCTGTGGTGGTAGCGGTGGCGGTGGTGATACGCATGTCCGCCACATTTGTTAAACAGGTTTTGTAGAGAGCTGCTCGTCCGAATTGTGAGAATGTACTTCCAGGCACGCAATACTCTTGGCCACGGATTTAGCAACAGATGTTGTAAATTTCCCAGGCAGGACTTTTCATGTTTTCTTTGTTGGAACATTCCTGCAGGAGCAGTGTTTCGGGTTCCGACGGCTTTCGGGGAGGACATGTTGAACGTGCGTGCACATGGTTTTGAGGGAGGGCATGTCGAAGATGTGCGCACAAGCAGAGAACAGTGCAAATCACAGCATCTTTGCATAACTCCATGATTTTCGAAATAACTCCATGAGTTTCAAAATTCGCGCTTGGAATGTTTGCTGTGGAAGTGCTTTGCAAAAGCAAATGTTATCTGGGACCGTCCCCTATACTAATCTAAGACTGAATGGTATACAGCATGTATTGTGTAGGCATCCCCTGCACCAGCCTGAAGCTTTGGCTAACGGCGAGTGTAGGGCAGGAGGCGTATCACTTTATTACCCTAAACGTTGATGGTATGGCGCAAGTGTTCTCTGAATGACTGTCATTCATTGCTTGAAACTTGCATGGCATCAACTGCGCAAACATTCCTTGAGAGGGTCGGCAAACATTAATTATTTTGGAGCATCCCGCTCATTAGCTTGAGGCTTTGAGAAAAGTGGAGTGTAAGAAATATCTGAGGGGACCCCGTGTAACTTCAATAGTAGGACGCAGTATTCTCGCAGAGTTCTTTTTAACCTGGAGTACTGCAATCCAGACATTGTCTTGGAGAATCCTTGGCTGGTCACCTAGCTGTGATTGATGAAAAAGATGTAAGTCATTATCTTTCCCTCCAGTGCTTACAGTGCAACGAAATTCACGGCACTGGCAGCCCTGAGGCTCAGAAGGTGAGCGCTCTGCCGCAAAGTCTCAGAAACTGTTAACAATAATAAAAAACGTTCCTTGCCGAAGGTCAGATGCTGATTTGACAAAGAAAGTTGAACCCCAAACTTATCAAACTCGAATTGTTTGTAGAATTCGGAGATGAAGCAGGAAATGCTGCGAATGTCAATGACAATGCCAAAGCATCACAAGGCACTCATCTGGAACATGCAATAAATTGTAGAACATGTTGTGGACAACACTGATTCCAGCTTGCTGGCTTCAGAAAAGCGACAAAACCTATAGAATTACTTGACGAATTTCAGAAAGCAAGTCAATCGGATGAATCTCGATAAACAGGAAGCGTTGTGAACACCAATCAAATGGTGCGGAAGCTCTGCGCATAGAAGCCAGACTACGCCAGACTACGCCAGACTACGCCAGACTACGCCAGACTACGCCAGACTACGCCAGACTACGCCAGACTACGCCAGACTACGCCATGTCGCAAACCGACAAGTCGTCAGATTGGAAGTTCTCCTCATCGTCACCGTTGTCGTCGTAGTAGTCGTCGTCGTAGTCATAGTCGTCGTCATAGTCGTCGTCATCGTCGTAGTAGTAATAGTAGTAGTAGTAGTAGTAGAAGTAGTAGTAGTAGTAGTAGGAGTAGTAGTAGTAGTAGTCAGTGCAGAGGTGGCAGCATGCAGTTGGAGTTGTAGTACTACTAGGAGGAGGGTCAACAGCAGTGAGCTGGCATTACCGGTAGATTGGTGATTCACACCGTCAATGACTGTTCTTAGACACGCCTATTGACACATATTGACACCATTCTCATGGAACAAATATGCTCGTCCTAGATCATAAGCCATGGCTCCGCACCAAAACCCGTAAACCCGACAGCTGAACACTGCAAGGCCATGGAAAGTTGGACATGCAGAAGCTGCAGGCGAGGCTCTCAATTCCCGAGCCAGCTCATTTGTGCTTTAGAAAACGGTTCTGAGCTTATGGATTCGGGTCGCTGTTAGGGTGAAGGGGTTAGGGCCTATCCTAGCCTTCAGGGCTTAGGTTCAGAGTGAGGATTTATAATTTTAGGGTTCAGGTTTGCTAGATCGTTGTTTAGCATGTAAACTTTGAACAACGATCTTGCAGAGGGCTCTGTCAGGGTTGGTGGCTTCCGGTTTCAGGAATGTTTTTCCCGCAGTACAAGTAAGGCTTCTCCTTGAAGGTGTGGGGGTCTGTGGGTCTCAGTGCTTGTTAGCAAACGCAACCATCCGCAATTGTTAGCAAGCGCCCGCAAGCGTTCGTTAGCCTCGCGCAGGCGAGCCCGAAACTCCACATGAGTCGTATCGGGGAGCATTGCGCATCGTGGCAGTTCATTGCGGTGAGCAGTGTGGCGGGTCCTTCAATGTGGCAGGCTAAGGAAGTTTCCCACGTGCCGCGTATGCGGTGACATTGTGGTGGGTCCTCGGGAGGGGTCGGTGGTCCCTGCAATTTAAGGCTGAATGCCACTCAGCAACAGACCACAAAAAAACTAGTCTGTGCCTGGAGTGGTGCGATGAGCTAAAGTGATTTGTCATGGTGCTTCTACTGCAGGTCTTTATGCATGGCAGTTGCAGGCTTGGTGTAAGGGCGGGAGGCCGAGGGTGGGAGGTCGTACCTTAACCGACGCGTAATCGCATTCGAGTTCGTGGCCTCTCTCAAGGAGGAGATAGGAGTTGGAGCAGGATCAGGAGTTGGAGTAAGGCAGTACTGTGGAAGGAATAGAAATACCGGTGACGTTGTGGTAGCGGGAGGCGGAGGATCAGTGGCAGTGGCAACAGCAGTGGCGGTAGCAGCACGAGCAGTAGTGTTTGCAGTGGCAACAGCAGTAGTGACAGTGCCACCAGCAACATCTAGAGTGAGTTAAGATTTGCTAAGTGCTGAGGTTCATCAAAATGAGGTTAGATATTCAGGGAATACAAGCCTTAGAGGTTCAATTTCAACGGTTCAAGATGTAGGGATCCTTCCACAGCACACCCTCAGCACAAAGGGAGCCCGAGGGCCAGCATTCCGCCTTCTGAGCTTTCTTGCAATAGTCGGCCCTCCAATTCTTGCAGTTCAAGCCCCGGAGCCATACCGTTGTCAAGCGGTTCAGCAATATTAATATCCTTGTATGCAAGCCTGCATGCAGAGGATCAAACCAGATGACATGATAGTCAGTGCCCGCCATTAAGCCTGTCCCAACCCAGTGTGGGCCAGAATGCAGGATGCTCTGGACGATGATGCCTTCACTTACAGTGTCAAGGCCGGTTTCATGACATTCAGGGTTCAGAGATTCTGTGGTCTTGTGCGGGAACGCGCGTGGGCTGCAGGAGGTTGAGGGCCACAGGTACGGTCGGAGCATCTAGGACTTTGGATGCATAATTTTGATGGCTCTGCTTGGAGACGAAACTTCAAGTGCTTGCCATACTGAGGGCCTCCGTCATTGTTTCGAACATGTCCGTCTGAGTCTAAGTCTGAAGCCCCTTAGCCGGGCTTGAAGGATCGCATCTGGAGTCCAAGAACAGCCTTTGTCACGACCTTGATGTTTAGTGGGCTGGGTTTTTCAGGGTATTTTGGTTAAGGGATCGGGGCTTATTGTTTGGCTAGGATTTGAGGAAGTGTAGGGTTCTGCGTGTAGTTTACGTTTTATTTGTGGTTTAGGTAAAAACGAATCAAGCCCTAAACTCTACACTCAACAACAAAAAATCTTGAAAGTCATGGTCACCACTACTACTACTACTACTACTACTACTACTACCACTACCACTACCACTACCACTACCACTACCACCACGATTACTACTACTACTACTACTACTACTACCACTACTACTACTACTACTACTACTACTAGGTAACGGTCGCGTTTATGACGGCGTCGTTTTCTCCACTTCGCCCTACTGAAACTGAGGTATCGCGCGAATTTACCATAAAGTCCACCGGCGCGTTTTCTTGCCGATCCACATCCTAATGATTGATGGTCTG